GTCAGTAATTTCCACCGGCTTGGATGGGAAACAGTACAAACAAGGATAAGAGAGACGGGAATGACAATTTATGGCTTATTAGCCGTCGCTAGCCAGCCATACCCAACCCCATGTGGTGTCACACCCGAGGTTCGAACCAGTGACCTTCTTAATCAGAAGTCCAACGCTCCGATTACTGCGTCACGGACTCCTTGTCTTGGCGGTTTTGATCGGGAGTATACACACTAGTAGATAGGCGCTCAGCGATTGCGTCCCTTTTTGTGCCTTTGGCCAAACAGAGGAGCGCGCCTGCAGGTTTTACCGACTTAAATGGGAAACATATATATGTTAAAGTGGAACTGACAAAGAAAAGGGAGACCGGACATATATATATATCCCGTTCTTTGGCGGTACTGTTATTCTAGTTTGCCTGGGAGCTGTTTTGCGAAGTATCCTATGCACTCTATGCGAGGCATTTAGCTATCAGTCACCTAGTTGACTGAGTTTTAAGTGACTCAATTCTCGCGCTCTTTTCTGATGTAAAGAGTTAAGCTTTTCGTGAATGTGAATCATTCGTTTTTCGTAGCAGTGGTTTCTACACAGTGGCATTCCTTTGCGAAGTCTGATCTTGAACCATATCCAGATGGCAGCCGTTGGTTATATAGTTTCGTTCTGCTCCATATAGGTCAGTCTGGGTGACTCCACCTGGTACTTTCGTTGTTCCTCGGAGTCCGTTCGACAGCAGTGGATTTCTGGCATTGAGAAACACCGACTGGCTGAGTCCGGCTACAGCTCGAAGTGTTCGATGCTCTCCCTCAACTCCATCAATTCCCTCAGCACCTGTGGAAAACGTGGCCAGAGCATGTCCGAGAAAGTGAGCGAGCTGGAGCGGTTGAAGTGAGTCCTTTTTAGCATTTAGCTTTGTTGTAAATGTAGCCATAGCCGAGTCCTCAAGGAAGAACGCGACAAGAAGGGGCGCAAAGCAGAAGTGTTTTTTACGTAATTGATACAACATATTAAAGGCAACAAACGCGTGCACAGCCATGTGCATTGGGCCAACTAGATACTGTTCTGGCGCGAGTAGTGACACGATTGACTTGTGACTCAGCAGTTAACTTTTCAGAGCCTGAGCCTGGCTCAGCTTTAAATCATTGATTTATTGCCAGTTTGCGTTCGCCACTTGTAAGCCGATCGATAGCCT